AATTGCCGAACTAGTTAGCAACTAGTTACAACTAACCCCCTAACCCTGGGAGGCCCCAGAAATAGTTGCAAGTAATTACAACTAACCCCCTGACCCTGGGAAGAGATAGAGTTACAACTAACTCTCTAGCCCTGGGAGGCCCCAGAAATAGTTACTTTACATTGTATATACCTCGGCGCATACATATATTCACGACCTCTTTAGGCGCTACTCGTTTGCGAAAGCTTTGGCAACAAAACCATAGTAACATGCAACCCAACTTTTGTTCACCTGAGTTTGTTCTAATATAAGATTTTCAGATCTGGCTTAGGAGTTTGCATTTACATTTCTCAAGAACGTGTAGACATCCAACACAGTGTTCGTGTACTTGCAAGCTACATGGCCAAGCCAACAAGATCAGCAATGGCCGGTCTCAAGAAACTTGCCTCCTATCTCAACTACACCAAAGAGATGAAGATTCATTACCCAAAGGTGGAGTTGTACCAGCATGTTTTCACCAATTGGAAAGACAATGACAAGGTGGTTGGCAAGAAACCGTTTCAGCTTGAATTTTTCAGCGATGCAGATTGGGCAAGTTGCAAAACAACGAGACGTTCAACTTCAAGTGGAATTGCATTTCTGAACGGGTGCCGTATCTACAGCCATTCCCGTGCTCAAGTTTCCATAGCCCTCTCGAGCATGGAGTCAGAGATCCTTGCGGCAACTGGCATGTTGACTGAGGGCATGTACCTGGAGCAGATCTTGCAATTTTTACTTGGTGATTCAGTTTGTTTGAGCTGCAACAAGAGCATTGAGACCAAGTTGTACCTCGATTCAACCTCCGCACAAGCCTTTTTCTCAAGACTCGGTGCTGGAAGGGCCAAGCACATGGCCACTCGTCTTTTGTGGTCGCAGCAAGCGATGAGAAAACAAAAGAAAACGTGGCAGATCTCAACAGAAAGATTCTCAGTGCTGAACGCCGAAACTATCTCATGATAAAGATCGGGTTTCTGTTTCCTCTCTGGCAGAACTCCAACAACCATTGAGGAGCCCTATGGCCAGGCGAGGATGGTGCAGAACGTAGTTCGAGCGGTGATGGCCGTGATGATGACCAATCTACAAGGATATGACCAAGGACGCGATCTGGTGGTTGCTACATGGACTTCAATGTGGACATGGTTTGGAACTATTTCATTTCCTATGACTTCTTTCATCTCCATTTTGGTTTCTCTCCTCTTCGTGGTGATTACCTACTTGGTGCTGAAGGTGAACAAGCTTTCCAAGGAGTTGGCCAAGTACAAGATGGTTTGGGAAGAAATCAGAAAGACAATGAACCTTCAACCTCGTGCTGATCCTTTTGTCAACAATGGTGAAAGTGATGGAGAACGACATGAAGGAGGTGAAACTCAAAGTGAGACAGCAGATGTGGAAATACAAGATGCAGAAGCACCACAACTACCATTGAGACGAATTGCAGTGGGAGCGTGTCATGGTGCAGCAAACAATCCTCCAGATGATGATGAAGGTGATGGACATCGACGAGCTGATCCTTTTGGCGATGGAACGAGACCAAGATCTCCAAGAAGTTCGACAGCATGGGGCAGTACAGATGCTGAAGTACCTGTACCGAAATCGATGCCGAAACCCCTAGGCCCTAGCAAAAGCGGTTGCAAGGAACCAAGCAATGCATGTGAGCGATGTGATTACAAACATGATGGCTGCGCAAGTTGCTGCGCAGAATGATGAGGTGTTCTACGAGCACACGCGATTGGATGTGAAGTTCTATGGAATGGGTCCAGTTCCACGAGACCCGAGCATGTTGGAAGACTACCGCTTAGAAGCAATGAATGCGGGACAAGGACCAGAAACAAAACTCATTCGAGAAATCCGAGAAGTACGTACATGGGCTGATCGAAATCTTTCAATGCGACAAGCTGGATATCGTCTATTACAACATCTACAAGATTTGTTGGTTGGTCTGAGGAGTGGAGATCCAGAGCTATACCCACAAGCAGCTCGAGAATACAGACACTTCTGTGAAGATGGACACAACCTCTATTTTTGGGATGCACAGACCGAAGCTGGCGATTCCTGAAGGACATGGCAATGATGATGATGAAGATTGGCATTTTTCAGAAGAAGGTGAAGAAGAAGTGGAAGTTGAATGTGAAAATGAAGAAGGAGAAGAATGGATGGAAAGACCTGAATCTCCAAACAGCAGATTCAGACGATACACGCAAGCAGGCCAAGATGAAGTTTCCGATCCTGAAGAGTGGATTCATATCCATTTTCCTGAAGATCGAAAATGGTTAGCAACGAATGATGCCGAAGGAGAACATGATGATGGAAGTGGAGAAGCTGCTGAAGAAGTACCAATGGTGGTAGCGAGACCAAGTCCTACTGAAGCCGAGGGACTTGACTATGAAAGTGATACATAGGAATAGCCATGAAATAAACATAGCCAAAGATGTCAGTGCTGTGAATGTAAAGAAGTGGCAGGAATCCTCTAATACGAAGATTCCTGAGGAGGGGTGTCAAAGATTAGCATGACCCTGCGCCACAGGCCAGGTACAAATATGACCCTGCGCAAGGATGACACAGCACGGCATGACATGAAACAACAAGCATCAACATGATGCTGCATAGTGGCTCGAAAGTGACACAAAAGGTGTGTCGCGAAGTTTGAGATCAACATGTCCACCAAGCACACCCGCTTTGTTTTGACAGACGCGTGTTTTGAGCATGACACGACTGGCGGCATAGGTGGAGTGCTTTGCGGCCCCATGGGTTGCGTTGAGGAGTGGTTCCATTTCAAATTGGAGCGAGAAGACGTGATACCCTTCATGAATGAAGGCCAGGAGAATGCCATTGCCGAGTTAGAAACCTTAGCAGTGGCTGTTGCGATGAAACTGATGGCATCAAAACTGTGTTCACAACATGTGGTCTTTTGCCTGGACACCGATGTATCACGCTTTGGCTTAATAAAAACATACTCCGATGCAACGGGCGTTACAAAGCTTGTGAGACTTGCCTCAGTGCTGTGTGAAGAATCAGTGGTGTTACCATGGTTTTTGCGTGTCGCCTCTCCTTCAAATGTAGCTGACTACCCTTCACGTCTTAAATGCCATACCTTGTTGACTGACTGCGCCATGGTAGCGCTAGCAGATGTGAATGGAGCATTTCGCTATGCCTTGGAGTTTGGCACTCGTACCCATTCATGAATGGGGGGGATCCATGGGTCCGAATGGATGGATGGCCAGTCGAACTCCAACTCAGCTCAGAAAAAAGGTTTGCCCGTGTTCTGCGTCAGCTGTGCATTTTGTTTTTGGGTGAACATGTCGTTCTCGATATGCGTTTTTTTTTAAATATGGTTTTTATTCATACCGTGGCAATAGACTCACGTTAGGTTTTTTTGCGACGAAGCATTTCCGAAAACGATTGCGTTCGATACTTCCATTTATGGCGTCACAACGATTTAAGACCAATGCTTCCGTTTATGGCGTTTGAACGGTTTGGTGCGTAACGCTTCTGTTTATGGCGTTGCCTCCTTTAAACTTTGGTTGTCAATTTTTTTGTGAAAAAAATAAAAAACATCCGTGTGTAAAAACGTCTGTGTGTACTAACTTTTGTGTAAGGCGCCTGTGTGTAAAAACGTCTGTGTGTAAAAACGTTTGTGTGTAAAAACGTCTGTGTGTAAGAGTTTCTGTGCGTAAAAACGTCTGTGTAAAAACGTCTGTGTGTAAAGGAGTCTGTGTGTAAAAGCCTCTGTGTGTAAAAACTTTTGTGTGTAAAAGTGTTTGTGTGTAAAAAATTCGGTGTGTAAAAAAAATTGTGTGTACAGGCTTCTGTGTGTAAAAACTTCTGTGTGTAAAAACAGCTGTGTGGGTTTGTGTGTGTCTGTGTATATATGTGTAAACATGTTTCTCTGCGTGTGTCTGTGTTTGAGAACCTATCAACATATCTGTATGTTATTTTCACATCTTCAATAACTTTCTATACATCATATCTTGTCTGTCGCTTGCAACTAAAACCCTGACATCTTCACATCTTCTTATCTTGATCTCTACACATAATGAACATATTCACATGATCTCAAGTAACATTCTCATGAACATATTCATGCAAGTCTTTGGCGTCTGCAAATCATACAACTACAAAACACATCTGAGTACCTATACAGCTACTCGGTCTCGGCCAAACCATCGTCTAGTTGCTGCCAGACTGCAACGATGAGATGCAATGGAAAAGTGAGTGGGACGCATGATCAAATGCTCAATGTCCCAAAGACGAGTGCGCATGATTTGCATTCCCTTTGCACGAGACGAGAAAATGTAACAGTTTCAATCATTTGCACACCAAACCACGTGTACGTCACGTATCTCAAACCCTGTTGGATTAGAAAAATGGATTGCAGCCCCCTTGGCAGGATATGATATTTGATCCAATCCTTTCTGATCCTTTCCGCGCCCGATCATATTGAATTCCCGAGGCGGGTTTCCAATTTGTTCCGAGCCGAAACGCGCGGCTGCATCGCTGCTGTTTCCTTCCGTTTCCATCTTGTTTTCTTACCTTTTGTGTTCCCTTTCAAGTTGATTTGACCTTCCAATGTGATTTCGGCTAGCGTATAGAGTCGTCAAAGACAAAAACAACGATTTCAAAAAACATTTCGCAGACTGAATTCATGTTATGTTAGGATTCTAAAGGGAAAAAATGACATTGGTAATGGCAAATCGCCTTCCAATAATACAGTGCATGAATATATGATAGTTGCAACGTTTCAGAACCATTTTGAGTTTGTTGACGTTGTTGGCCAATTCCATGAGAGGTGTTTTTTGTAGCCATTTGCAGAATCAAATTGTGGATGCTTGCAAAGTCTTTGGTTTTTTTTTAACCCTTAGCAGAAACACATAGGCACATAGGCCACCGAAAAATAAACATGATTTCATATTTTTGCATGCTGGCGTTTTATTCCAAAATGAGATGTAACATAGCGAACCCATTGCACAACCTATTGCGCACTTCTCAATCGTATACACAAGACCATGTTTGGTTTGCCGTTGAATGCGCTTCAACCAACTGTCCGCTCCCCTAACATTGTCTGACGTGAGCCGGAAAAATGGACAATTTGACATGTTCATATTACTTAAAACAACATGTTTTGAATAAATGTGAAACATTCTGATCCATACGTACCCATCGAAAGTTGAAGGTGAAACATGTTTTCCTCTTTGTTGAAATGTGAGATGTGTACTGAGGCAGGCGCTTTGCCAGTGGTACAATTTGTCGGACGGCCGGCATGGAAATCAACACTGCAGCAGCAGGCCAACAAAAACTGAATTCCCCGGACTAGCATGATGCAGATCGGTCCGATCTTTACGAAACTCACTTTGCCGACCATTTTTTTCCAAATTCTGGGTTTATTGTTGTGGCGAGCTTCATGATGTCAGATTTTGCAACATTTAACAAATTTGTTCGGGAATCATCACAGAGATCAATCTTGGAGGCGCTCCCCAGGTTCCAACGGCTTCGTCGAGGTGGTAGACGTTCTTTGCAAGACAGCAAGGCACAGCATGGTGGGTTTGCCCATGATGTGGTGCTGTGAATCGTCCAGTAATCACACACACACACAAAACGGGAGTTTCGTGTTACACACTTTAAACAACAGATTCAAAATCATAACACCAAAAAACACAGATTACTGTAACACAATGAGGGTGCACAGACAAATAGAATGGTGAATTTGCAACTGTGGGTTTGCATTTCAAGCAAATCGAGGTGTTCTGCAGGTGGTGGTTTGGTGGTGCTGGGCAAACTATGGTTGTGTTTGAACATGTGGGGAATACGGAGTACTCCCCAATATTGTCATTCAACATCATAGGATGGGGAAAACAAGTACATTCCATTGGAATGCTGTGGTAACCCACAACTGAATGATTAATTCTCATTTTCCATCTTTTTCCTTGGGGGTATACTACATTTTCACAAAAAAAAACCGCAACCGTCAGGTGGCTGACACCACGGAACAGCTTTTGGAGGCGTCGGAGTCAGTGGTGCAGTGATGCGTTTGATGCAAACTGAGTTGCAAGGCCTGGCAATTGCTTCCAGATGGACGTTTCCGCGGAAAGCTGAGGTGGGTAAAGATGTTCACGTCGAACATTCCGAAAAATGGGTTTCAAATTATATCACCAAAATGTGTGTTTCATCAAGAAAACTGAAAAAACACTTTACTAACTTTACATTCTTGGTAATTATTAGGGTTACATTGGGTTTGTTTTCACACTCCAGGTCGGGCCTCACTGTGGAGTTTCAGGGCGAGTTGGTGGGGTTTGGAGCTTGGGTCATGAAAACCATCCATGGCATAATTTCGTAGCCACAATATCAAGCACATTCTTACAAACACAAAATACACATTTTAAATTTTAGATATACAACTCTTCTATGTGTATATGTATGGAGAAATACTGATAGATGTGATATCGCAAAACATTCTGTCTTTCACCTCTGAAATCCGCAGTTTCAATTTAAGTAGGAACACATGTGCAACCAACCCGAAACATCTTTTTAAATCGACAAATGTAGGGTTTATGTGGTTTTGTTGGCTTCATGCGCAGCCCTATCAGAAGAACATGATCGTTCTCTTAAATTTTGGCATTTTAGTTTTGTACGTAAGGTAAACTACGTTAGGTTAGCCACGAAAGACCAAACACTGAACCTCAAAAAGAAACGCTCAAATCGAGACAAAGACATCTGAACCAATCATTTTTGGGAATATAGAACAGACACATAATAGACCAATAGACAGACACCTATTAAAAAACATTTATAACATTTTAAAAATCACTATGAAAATCCTATGAAAATCATATGAAAATGTTATGAACATCGCGAAAAAAACGATTTTCTACACCGAACACCGAGGCCTGAGGATCCTGGTGTGGTGATCGGTCCTCGGGGCACCCGGTACGTCTTGGGGGAGGTGTGGACCCGGTAGACGCACCGAGTAAAACCCATAGGACAGGCAGACACAGGCAGAAAGCAGTTGACTCAGAGACTCAGAGTGACTCAGCTGACCTCAAAGTGTTCTCAACTTGTCAACTGGTCTTGTCGAGGAGTTAGTTGTTTTCATTTGTTTTCATTTTGGACTTTGGAACAAGACCAGTAAAACGGAAGACTCTGCAGGCAGAGAAGCGTCGCGAAGATGCTGCTGAGCTGTCAGAAGTTGCACTTCAGAGCTCAGGACTTTGGCAGGCGCCCACTGAGGGGAGGAATCCAGCTCCACTCGAATTTCGCACCTTTGACAGGTGGCAGCAGCCGCTGTGGCTGCTGTGGCTGCTTATTTGGCCTGGCCCTCTGACCTGGGTGGGTGCAGAGCCAGAGTTAGATTCGTTAGATGCAACATGTTGTCCCTCTCCAAGAAGGTACTGTGTGGGTCCCTCTCGCTCAGCCTTGCACAGGTCTTTCGGAATTTCGTCTCGAAAATGAGGATCTGTGTATATCTGTGTTCCAGTTTCGATTTTGGTTCATTTTGCCAACCATGAACCATCATGAACCCTTGTCGAGAAACCCCTTCCATTGAATCGTGGAAGGTGCATCAAGGTGCCAGGTCGATATTGGTGTCTAAGGTCTTGCCCGCGATGATGCAAGCATCTCCTTTGGCCACGTCCTCAGGTGCTTTCAAACCACTTCGGGCCTCGAGTGGGACGATACTCATATCATCGCATGTTGCGACTGCTATGATGGTGAGATATGGTGAGCATTGAAGACGGTGATGACTCAGTGATGACCATCACTACTCAGTGATGACCATCACTATGAAGTATGTTGGATGTGGAATGAGCTGCTGATTATGGTGACTATGGTGACTATAGTGACTATAGTGTGACTGCTGGTGTACCTCGCAATACCCAGGCATCCTTCACCTCCACCAGTGCTCCAGCCTTGCTGGCGAAATTTATGTGTATTTTCCAGCAATTTGGACCCTTCAGATCCGGAAAGATGGACCAACATGCTTGATTTTGACATTATATATATATTATATAATTATATATATAATATTATACACATACATGTATATTATGTATAAATTATCTGTGATATATTTTGTCATTGGATTTGTCCTCCTGGATCACCTTGGCCACTTCCAGGTGACTCGCACCAATGTGACCATTGTCCGAAGCTCGGTCTCAGTTGGCCGGATCGATGCCTTCCTTGCCTTCGGGTGTTTGCAGTTATGTGCAACACTAGTTGGTGACACAAATTTTTGCACTTTTTGCACTAGTAAATTTGTTTAAACATGATATCATCAATTCGGGTGTGACTTCAAACTCGAAAGAAACCACGATTACTTAGCATTACCTACCGACACTGCTACCCGTCTTTCCATCATGACGCGGTCTCGCCAGGTTGAGACGAAAAAGACCTTGCCAGACGGCTCCACTGCCAAGATCAGTGAGAGAACTGTGAGGCACGGCACGGAGGGTGAACTGCACCTCCTGGAAATCCAATGGGCCTCGTCCTCCAGGAGGGAACGAAATGTACCTGGCAAAGCTCCAGTGGTGACGGCATCCCTGGCATTGTTGCCAAGATTTGCCAAGGCTGCCGTGTTGAAGGCCCATTTTCTTAGCTCAACCCGTTTTGGATCGCGGAAATCAACCCTAAAGATTCGGTCCCTGTAGTCCCTGCAACGACTGGTGGCAGCATTTTGACCTCTCATTGCTTTGCCCGGAAAACACTGAAGGTTTTCCTTGGGAAAGGAGATGGGGTAAGCTATGTACTGGTCCAGTGTGACAGGAACCAAGGGTAATCACTGATCCGAAAGGCTTCTTCTTCGAGGAACAAGAGACTCAGCTGTAGAACTGAAGTATTCACAGCCCCTGCAACAAGATCAAAGATGTCCAAACTGCATGCCAGATGAAAGATAGAGGCTTCCTAAAATGGGGGTACCCCTAAATCATCCATTCTGTATCATTCTATCCATTTATGGGTATCAGATATTGGTTTTTGTTTTCAGATTTCCTCTCACCGCCCTGTGCTGTTCGTGCCAGGAACGGACTACCCGGACGGAGAAGGCAGGAAAAGATCTGGCAAAACAAACTGCTGAGGCCTGAAATCATCTAAAGACCTGGAGAAAACTGGAGAAAGTCAGAGAAGCTGTTCAGCACACCTGCAACACCGAAGTCTACGCTATGAATCAACCCATATCAATCCATATTACGCATACAGTATTGATATTGTATTGATATATATATATATATATACATACCAAAATAGCTGAGAGGCCTTGGTGCCACAGGGTCAGCAATCCTGCGTGCGACCAATGGGTGGTGCAACGTGGTACCACTTCTCTCTTAATAGAAAGGCTGTTTTGTTTTTGCATTCACATTGTTATACCACATTCCGTTTGAGGAACGGCATGTGAAACACCAGAGCTGTGGTCGCAACACGGCAAGATCACATCGGCCCCGACTCGCGTAAGACTTCAACGCCATGGCATGGCTATCGCGACTACCAAAGCGAAGAGTCGTTTCAGGCGTGGCGTTGATCGTCTTGGCTCAAGTCATCAGGTGTTCGGTGGGTGCGGCAAATTCATGGTCAGTTAGCGGTTATTCCTTTTTACAAGCAGGACATACAGGTTGAATGTTGGGCTGAAACATGGATCAACCACTCTTTACGGTTGCCAGGCTTGGACTTGGATGAGGACGACCTGCCTGCTACCTCGGTACCTCGGCTGGTGATGTTGGGCTGGGTCCAGAACTGCTGGAAAATTGCAAAGCCACTGGTCTCCCCATCAGATATGTCACGTAAAAGACAACTGTTTTTGATTTAAAGGGTAATGTTGACCCAGGATTCGTGGGGGGTACCAATTTTATTGCATTTTCTCATTATTTTGGTAAACTCCCCAATTGATGGTGAGTTTTTTTTGAATCCGGAGTTGACATCAGCGACTTTTCCGATTTTCGGCACTTCGAGGCCTCTGGGCTCTGCCCAAAGAGAGACTCGAGGCGCGCCATGGCTCTGTTTCTTGTTGGGGAAGGTTTGATGAAATTTCTGGGCTTTGTTTAACCATGGGCCAGATGGCCAGACCTCCAATTCCAGTGGGTTCTGCATATCTTTTGCCGTTGAAATAACCAAAAAAAAGGACACACACCGCACACCCAAATTGTGGTTGGATCCGGTGCCACTGATTTCGATTTCCAGGCCCTCAGTGGCATCGAGACACCGGAGGGTCATTGAGGAGGCCAGGTGGATCCCATTTTCCATTTGGTTTCCCACTGGTCGTCAAGGGGGATTCCCCCATTTTAACGATGTTTTGATCATGGTTGTTTCAATACGAAGTCACGATTTGTCATCCATGAAAGGAAAAGCTCTCGTCTCAGGAGACTGTGGCCAGGCCGAAGTGGGAGCTGCAGCGATCAACTTTGGTTTCAAAAATTGATACCTCAAAACCCCCTATAGTTTGGTTCCCATAGAACTTGTCATTCAGGTAAAACTAAACCATATGCCGCATATGCCATATGATGAGATGAAATAGATGAAGCACTGGCGCTTGATGGGACCCAAATGTTTTGAAGGAAGGGACAAACACTTTTGCAGAGGACAATAGGGAGGAGTTTCCAACAGCATGAGCCGGCAGCTTCCCTCAAGAGCATATGTTGGATGGGCAGGAATCATCAGTTTGTTTTCTGGAAGTATAGCGTTGCTCGCAACTCTCAACTTGATGAGGCAGCAGAAGAAATCAAACGTGGTTGATTTGATGATGCAGCCTGATATAGCTGAGTAAAGCCACCGAGCCACTTGATAATTGGAGACGCATCAGCATGAGCCTCAAGAAAAGAGCAGTTTGCCCAGCCCCACTAGCATCAGAGTACCTAGAGTTGCTAAAGAGATGGTAAAGTCCCATTTGCCATCCCCATTGGGGTGGTCGAGGATCCAAATAGCAGGGAAGGAGTCATCACAGATTAACTTTGAAGTTGTGCCCCAACCTGCTGTAGCTCCGCAACTTTAAACAGCATCAAATGAGTGCAAACATTGTCAATTAGGCATAGACTATGGATGAGTACTGTATGTACATACTTGGGAATATGAACCTAGCCGCTCCAATGCAAATCACCTGGTTAGATGCACAGGAAACCGTGTTCATTTTCTCAGTAAATAACGGGTTTTGCCCTAAGCCCTATGTTTCAGGACCCGTGCATTGCCGGCGGCTGTGCCACCAAGCGAAGGACCTCTCCCTGAGGTTGGGCCCTGTGCAGCTGGGCATGGTGGTTGTCATTTTGGACAGGAAAAAGAAACCTATGCCTATGCCCTCGAATTTGTGTTTTAAATAGACTATGCTGCTGGTGCTGCTACTGAGTACTGCTGGTCTTCCTGGTTTTTGGTGATTTGGAGTCATTTTCGTTGTTGTGTGAGGAATGAGGCACGACAAGTGTTGCCAGAATTGGTAGAATAACACAATTGATTCAGTTGATTGCCATTTGGACTGTCACACGTTCCGGAAGTTTGCAGGAGAGGCCAGAAAGGCCAGCCACCAGGTTCGCTTTGGTCTTGCTGTCGTGTCTGTCTTGATGGGTTCAATAGGTTCCGACAAGTGACAGATCACAGATGCGTGATGCGTGAGGCAACCGCCCAGAGTGGAGAGTGCACCACGCAGGCGGAGGAATTCCTCTGAGCTGTCGATCTCTGAGGTGGGAAAGTCGGATGCTTGGTAAGTCTGATGAAGTCTGATGAAGTCTGCCGAAGTCTGATGAAGCCTGATGAAACATCGTGGAACATGGACCTTGGTCCATTGTGAGAGTCCTCGTTGAAGCCAAGACCATGGAAATGCATAGTTCAACATTTCTGGGCAGGAAAGTGGCCGCTTGGCCTTTCCAGACAGGCACGGCACGGCAGTCTACACTGGTTATTTGGTGTTGCATCTATTTGCATTTACGGTAGACCAGGACCAGTGAAATATTCAGGAGAGGGATTTGTCAACATCACGCCAATCGCTGGGAGGCCACCAGCACTTGAGCCCACAGAGGCTGTTGGGACACGCAGACGACTACGGCAGTCAATTTCCGAGGCCAGGTAAAGTGGAAGCAAATGGCCAGAGGGCAGCAGTACTCAGGCCTGAGAATTTAGAGGTATTCTGTATGCCTTGAATATCTTGAATCAAAAGCCATCGACATGGAGTGCAAGATAGAAGAAGGATCGATTTTAAGTTGAGCCTTTTCTGGGAGGAAAGCCTCATCCTTGAAAGCCTCATAGTTGCTGAGAGGCACAGTGGAGGGCGGAAGATGTTTGGGGAGTCAGCGCTAGATTGTCATTGGATATCAAGGTTTCCAACCTGTTCCAACTTCGTTTGCTGTCTATCTAGCATTCAGACAAGCTTGTTGTGCCATACGTTTACGATGCTCAAGTTCAAGATATATTCCAGCCAGCCACAAGTCACAAGTATTGAATAGGAGAGAGATTTGGCAACATCACACCAATCGCTGGGAGGCCAACAGCACTTGAGTCCACAGCAGAGCCTGGTAGATTACCAGCAGCTGTGCCACAAAGTGAAGGACTTCTCCCTGAGGTGGGGCCCTGTGCAGCTGGGCATGGTGGTTGTCACTTCGGACTTGAACGATACATGAGACTTGCATGGCACATGGGGCCTGTGAATTTGTGTTTTAAATAGACTATGCTATGCTGCCGATGCTGCTACTGCTGGTCTTCCTGGTTCTTGGTGATTTGGAGTCATTTTCGTTGTCACGAAAGCTAGCTTCTTCGGCATGTCGCCAACGGCAGCAAATTCAGCAGCATCCGCATCCTTAGCATCATTGTGTTTTCATGCCAAGCTCCCTACCAAGCTAGCTTTCGTCCCTTACCCCTGGGCCTCAAGTTGTGTGAGGCATGAGGCACGGCAAGTGTTGCCAGAATTGGTAGAATAACACAATTGATTCAGTTGATTGCCATTTGGACTGTCACACGTTCCGGAAGTTTGCAGGAGAGGCCAGAAAGGCCAGCCACCAGGTTCGCTTTGGTCTTGCTGTCGTGTCTGTCTTGATGGGTTCAATAGGTTCCGACAAGTGACAGATCACAGATGCGTGATGCGTGAGGCAACCGCCCAGGGTGGAGAGTGCACCACGCAGGCGGAGGAATTCCTCTGAGCTGTCGATCTCTGAGGTGGGAATGTCGGATGCTTGGGAAGTCTGATGAAGTCTGATGAAGTCTGCTGAAGTCTGATGAAGCCTGATGAAACATCGTGGAACATGGACCTTGGTCCATTGTGAGAGTCCCTGTTGAAGCCAAGACCATGGAAATGTGAATTTTGATGGCCTTGCACAGAAAATCGTTAGCGCGATTAGGCTTTCACCAATCGCCAAAGATGTCCATATGTCCGTGTTTTTTCTTCTGAACAAGTTGTTCAGAGGTGATCCCAGGTTGCAATGCGTTGTTTCCCAGTTGAGCAGCGACCAAAACCCTGGGTGATTGGTGATTGCTGGGAACACCCCTTTATATCTATTTGGGATTTTATTGTAGTCATCATGAGAAACCCCATCATCAATCAACCAACCAGTACTATCCCATCAACCAGTAAAAAAACATTGACGTTTCGGATTTCCATCGCGTTCCCATTGCAGGATCAGCCAGCATCCCGGAATCCTGAGAGTGCGGCAGCACCGACGCCCTGTCGGCGACGGTGGACCCGCCGGGTCAAGCGCAGGCATACCCACTGTTTGGACACACCCATGTTGCATGATGTTGAGTATATTTGATATTATTTGATGACTTCTATATACTTTTATTGTAGATGACATAGTGATTATAGTGGATCCTGACATTGCCACGCTGGAAGGATTAGGCAGGATTGAACTTGGTTTGCTGGAAGGCAAGCAGCGCGCGAAGCCACAGAGGAGGCGGAACACCTCATCGATGTCATCGGTCTTTCCGAGAGGCATGGACCATGGACCACATCCGGGTAAAGCCTTCAACCATGGACATTTGGATATCAGATCTCCAACCTATTCCAACTTGGTTCTGTCAGCCATTCAGGGCAGATGAATGGTCGATTCGTGGTTGGATTTGACATCAGGCCACAAGAGGACGAATCAGCACCCCGACGAATGGCTGCGTCAACCTCTCAGGTGCAAGTTGGGGCAGGGTGGGAGCAGCTGAGCAAGTGAACATACTATCGGTTCTGCTCTGATGAAATCATCAACTACTGTACTTTATTTTTGGTCTAGAAATTCAAAATTCCATCAGGCAGCAAATGAAGGCCCAATGTTGTTTTCTCCCCACAATTGCGGGCAAAACCATTTGTCTTAAGCATCCCATGAAGAAAACCCTGTTAGCTCAACTCATGTTCCTCATGTTCGGCTGGGCGACGAAGAGGAACCCAGCAGTTCGTGGCGGTCAGCGGCAGCTGAGACCATTGAGATTCCAGAATCTTGGTGGTTTTCATGCGCAACAAGTGATGGGGGATGTGAATTTTCTGGGAGTGTTGTAAAAATGATGATTGATGCCTTGGAACGACCTTCAAACTGGAGTTGGATCGTAAACGATCCGAATCCAAGTCCTTTTGTGCCAGAATGGTTTGGTCCAGCATGCCAAACCCAGTGATACCCAGTGTTTGTACTAGGATAACTCAAATCTCCAATTGGCAACGAGGATACTCAGCCAGATCCACATGAACTGCACGAGATCTCTGAGTCGGAGGCTTCTTGGCAAGATCTGGGTTTGTTTTTTTAAAACAGGATACCTCAAAATCCCATGGCGTATCATAATTTTCCCATATTTTCCCCATTAATTATGGATATTATGGTTATTTGGGGGTATATCCCATTTTTAGACTATCCCATTGTAGACAAATCCATTTAACATTCTCAAAGCAAAAGAGGTGAACTAGTCTGGCCATGTTTGGTGTCGTGTTGAATACTTTTGACCTTTCTAACTGGGTGGTTTCATATTGTTGAATACTGTTGACCTTGCAAACTGGATGGTTAGATATGGTTTGATATGTTTTGATAGTTTGATATGCAAAACGGCCGATTGCGTAGTGGTGTATTGTATTTTGCTGAGGACACTTGAGCTGCTAGCAGCTATGACTCCGTATACCTATAATTCATATTAATTCATGTATTTTTCTGTACCTTGATCAAGACATTGACATGTGAACACGGGCATGCTCAAGACATTGCGAAATTGCCCAGTCCAACTGCGAGAACGATCTTGAGACACGAAATCCATCAAAATCTGAGGATTGGAGTCCAGCTGGCCTCGGCAGAGCCGTGCGGCTTCCCCCGCCGATGCTGTGGCCTTCGGCGTTGCGGGAACAGCCACTGCCGTGGCGGAATGAAGTGGCCTTGGCTGCACGTGCCGCAACAGCGCGGATGCCGGCACGCCAGGGTCAACCAATACCCAGCAACTTGGACCGCGGAGAGTGTGGCGATTTCGGTGTGCAGAATGGTGACTTAGGGTTCGATTCACTTGAACTCATTTGATTCATGGATATTCATGGCACAATGCCTGGGAGGCCACGACTTGGCTTTTGCCCAGCTTATTCAGATGCAGATGATGCAGGCAGGATCATGCCATGTTTCCACGTGGATGGTTGCCAACTGGCGCCTGCCAGGAGGTAAGCTTTGATTTGCGCCGGGAGAGGCGCCAGCTTTGCAGCACGGGTTGTTATCCAAAGATATCCAAAGCATGGCGAGCATGGTCATAGCAACAACAGTTTGCACAAACAATATGGTGGGTGTGATGCGGCACTAGCTAAATCCAAGAATCATGATTGAGTTGCAAAAATGTGTAGTTGGCTTGAACATGGGGAGACACCTCAGAGATCTCAAGGTGTTGATTGAGATGCTGATTTCAAGTTCCAAAGATTCCAAAGCCCATACATCGCCATTGAGCTGTTGGTGAAAGTGTGCCCTGCGCAGTGAGCGACTCTTTGACCACTTGACCACCGTGACGCGAAACATCATGTCACGCCAGGCCCATTGTTTTTTCAGTGCTGCCATGCTGAAAGAGTTGATTTGTTGTGGCCGTCGATCATTTGCCAGGGTTTACCGGATGCAATTCCGGAACTACGCCAACCGTGGGGTGGGCAAAGGGGAGGTGCAGTTTCTTGGTTTTAAGTGTTTTGGTCAGGTTTCGATGTGCAACAAGTTTTTGAAACACCTTGGCAGATTCCTAATATTAGTTTTGGGCTTTGTTTTGTTTGGCTATTTCATGTGCGTTTCTTTTTACAGTTACAGTCGGTTTGAACATCTCCAGAGTCTTTCTTCAACATGACCTTGTGAAATCGAATTGTGAAATCAATCCAACACATTCCAACACTGTAGACTCTCTGAGTCTTGTCCATAAACTATGCTATCTCACAGGTGGCTGTTTCCAATTCGGGGGTTGGAGATTTGTCACGTCTTTGAGGCACAGATGCGACGCGGCTTGGAGGCTCGTGAGCCTCAAGCAGTGCCACCACTCGGGGAATGCGGACCCTGTTGGTCCCATCCACAATTAATAATCAATTGTGGATTATAGTATTGAAATGCACACGACATACTGATTTAATATGATAAATAACTTATAATATAATATATATATATTTAAGGGCTGCCGCCCCCTGCCGCCGACCCCGGAAGAAGTCATGTTGAGAAGGTCATGTAGGGAAAGAGTCATGGAAGAAATATGAAACATATGTAGTTGGCGTTATATATATATATATACCAGGACTTTGTCCTTGGAGGTAAATACATATACATATCATATGTATCTCTATGTCTATATATAGATGCATCGAAACAGTAACTAGCCTGCCGGACAGGCAGTGTCCCGAACAGGGACGTTGTTTTTTTGTAGTCCAGGACTTTGTCCTTTGCGAATAGAGTGTAAGCTACGGACCAAAGTACGATATCACATAATTCATCACTCTAAGACCCACAGCCAAAGGGTATGACAATCGCCCTTCTGGCTCAAGACCCACTGCAGCAACAGAGAAAAGGAACGCCATGCGGAAGCTGTCGTCTTTGTGAAGTCATTACTGGAACAACAGACATCAGCATCAATTACTGGAATATAATCGGACAGGCAATCCCCGATTCGCAGGTTATCAGCCGTAGGAGTCCTACGGAGCCTACGAGCGGGGAACCGCGGGCCTTACAGATGACTGAACAGGATAGCAGCGATAATGCATTTTCTTTCTCTGGACATGCCGTTGCACCAGCTGCCGGCACGCAGTCAAATTCTTCACAGAGTATCGACACTGGTGGAAGCGATGCCTCAGAACTGAGAACAAGCCAACCCAGGCGACATCTGGTTGCTCCTAGAGGGAGACAAATTTCGACAATGCAAGCAATAGATAGGGACAGCACACCTGGAAAGAGAAGATCATCTGCACGACAATTGTCGCCTCCGATGACTCCAAGGACTAAGGCAAAGACTACGTCTTCGAATCCGCCTTCACCGATTCAGGACGCTACTCCATCAGGGACAGGATCTTATCAGCAAGTGAATGCCCCGTCAAGTGGTAGCGACATCTTCACTGCCTATCAGAGTGAATTAGCTGAGTACAAAACATCACTGGAAAGGGCCACTGAAGAAGAATCTGTACTTCAGGCAAGATTGAGTGAGACGACAGCATATGCCTATCAACAATTTAATTTCCTGGAAAGCACCACTCATCAAGAGATGATGTCGATGACCGAACAACTCCAGATGCTGAACTTCGAGTTACAGGCTGCACAACAGGAAGATGAAGGTGCGACCTACAGGATCGAAGAGTTGGAAAGGTATCAGACTATGTCGAATGAAGCTGCATCTCATTTGGAATTCAAATATTCACGACTACGTTCGGAATTCGATGAACAAATGGGACAAGCAAACGCAATTATGGTACATGTGGGAACTGACGCGAATGCTCACATCAATCAACTCAGACTGGAACTGGAAAACGCAGAGATGAATGCCAAGCAAGAAGCTCTAGCAGTCGGCTATGCTAATGACCAAACATGTGCTTTGCAGATCGAGATGCTCGAGGTTGCCAATCAGAACCAGACGATGAAGCACACCATGGCCATGAATGTCAGGCGACTGGAAACTGAGTTAGATGCTGCTGACATGAAGAGGGACGAGATCATGAAGGAGTTCCGTAGTAACATAAGATCTGAACATGACCGTTATGCAGAATGTGAACATCACTTAGCTTTGGAAGAATCACAGCTTCGATTACAGGTGATCCACAGTGAGAACTTACAATCTCGACTAGCGATTTCTGAGAACAGGGTTTCTGAAGAATCTCTAGCTGAATCAGGTGGCATGCGGGACATGAGGATAATGGGACTACGTTCTGAACTACACATGAAACAAAGTCTTTTAGATCGAATGCAACAGCAACTGACTGAATCGAAGAATCAGTATCATGAACTTTCCTGTCAACAAGCCAGAAGATCTTCACCGAGCAGATCACCGCATGGAGGACCTCTATACGAGATGTACATGCAAGCCGTGCGTGAACGTGACAGCTTGAAAGAATCCAAGGCCGAAGTTGACAAATTGTACTTGCAGAATAGATCTGAACTCATTGAACTGAGGACCTGCTCAAAGTCTTCCAGCGAAACTTTGATGAAACTGGTAAGAAATATCAAGATGCTCTGAACAAGATCGATCACATGAGCAACAATCCGAATGTGACGAGTACCTTGTTTGACAGTTTGCACAATGAACTCAATGACAGGGATACAGCTATTGCTCGCCTTCATACTGAACTTGAAGCCCAAAAGGACTCTCTTGAGCGTGCTCACAGGGATGCAGGTAAGTCCATCAAGATGTTGAACGACAGAAGACTCGTGATCAAAGGTGCGACTGACTATTCCATTCCTGAAAGCCATTTGACCGAGATACATCAATTGGCCAATGAGCGTTACGCTGAGGTAGAAGAAATGTCGAGCACCATTGCTGCCCTGAAGTTGGAAAACCAAGCTCATTCTTCTTCATCAATGAATAGACCGACTACATTACATGGGTACCCCAGTAATGCCATGCCTCGGAATGAATGTGAAGAGAAGTGTGCCAAACTGAAAGCAGAGTTGGACGAGATGAAGCAAGAGAGGAACGCTGAAGTTCGAAATCTTCAAGATGAGTTGAAGAAGATGGAAGATCGTAAAGATTACTATAAGAACAATTTCTCTCAAGCTGAAGATCGTGCCAATGATGAAGAGCAGGAATACCGAGCAGAAGCTGAAGCCTTCGAGAAGCTCAGGAACGAGTACAACACAAATGTCAAGGAGTTGGAGAACCTTGAAAGGGATAGATCCAAGTCATCTGTATCTCTAAGAGAAGCCGAAAAGATCAGCCTCCAACCCTGGCCTAAGACCACTGAACTTTCATCCTGGAAGGGAAGTGTCGTTCATGAAGTTTGCGTTGCAAGTGGAGATCGAAACTATGAAGATTGGAAGGCGTGGTTAGCTCCGTGTCTTGCAGATCAACCTGACTTGGAGGCGCTGGCCAAAGCTCCTGAGGTGAGATTCCAATCCATTGATGCCAAGCTCTCCAATGCCTTGAGGAAAGTCATTGACAATGCTGGGGACAAGTCCATGCAAGTGAAGTATGACATGTCCATGAAGAACCAATTGTATGGGAGAAGTGGGGACTTCATCAAGGGACGAGAACTATTTGCAATGATATTGATTAGCTTCAAGTCACCTGACCACACTGAAGTTCTCTACAATGCCCATCATTTGTATATGTTCAACTACTATGGAGATGACCAACTTGAGGCCTTCTACAACAAGTGGCTTGACATCGTATACAATATGAAACATGATGATCTGCCTTCCAACAATTCCCTGCGTGACACGTTGTTCCGGAAGATTGAACATTCAAAACTTATGGCCTTCGATATCAACCGATACAAAACCTTTGATGAAGGGCATCATGAGAAGACCTATGCTTACCTAACTGGTATGATCAAGGGATACATAGCACGAGGGAAGCAAGAACGACTGTTGAAAGATAGAGAACGTGCAGTGAAACTGTCATTGTCCTCTAACAAGACGACACCTGCCTTAGAAGATGCAGACAAGCCTGCCGCTCCCGTCAAGACCAAGAAGGAGAATGAAGCGGCCGCATCGTCTACAGGTGATCCTCCCAAACGTCCTAAGGCGAAAGCGAAGAGTGAAGCTGCATCGGTACTTCCTACACCTTCTCCGAAATCCCATGCCGACAAGAACAACAAGAAAGGCAAAGGTGGGAAGGGAAGATCATCTTCACCCGTTGACAAGAAGAAGATTTTCTGTAACTACTTCTTCAATAAAGGAGGATGCAACAAAGGTGACAAATGTCTTTACAGTCATTCTCAGAAGGTCTATGATGCCAAGATGAAAGGTAAGAAAGGCAGAAGCGGAAGTAGAGATTCATCAAGAGGGAAAGGTAGAGGAAGTTCATCTTCAGCTGGACCCAAAAAGAAGGTATGTTGGAATTGGCAAGAAGGTACCTGCAAGTTCGGAAACAAATGTAAATTCCTACATGCAGATAAATCGCCCTCAGCATCCTCAGAGAGAACCAGCAAGAAGACACCAAAGAAGAAGGCGACTCCCATTACCATTGATTCCTTCTTTGATAGCGACAATGAAGATTCTATGGATTATACCTCACCGAGGATAGCCAGCGCAAAGAAGTCTTCTGATGATCGCAGGATCTCATTTGATCTGGAACCTGAGGTGCACGAGATCGACATTGAGGACTACCAGGAGGGACTACCCAAACGTATGTATCGTGACCCCAACAAGCAATATGTTTTCTGGAAAGTCGATGATTTGACCGACGATCAGTCCAAGTCCGACAACACCCTCGGTTCAGTCCGAGCACGGGCCAAGGCTATCATCATGGACAGATGTGGACTCCATCGTTTTGTTGATGAAGTTAGAATCATTATTGGCCCCAAGTTCGACATGTTGATCAAACTGGACAATGATCGTGATGACTTGACTTTTATTGAAGAGCTTGTTGAACACGAAGTTGGAAACTCCCTCATGAAGTCCAAGAACATAATGTGCATTTCACTACCAGTGCAAGCCAAAGATCGTAGATTCATCCTGGATTCTGGCAGCGGGCATGATCTGATTTCTGCAAGGAAAGCCGAAAGGATGAACTTGAAGCAGCGAACTTGTGATCCTATCATGTTCCACACAGCCAACGGTTCAACTGCTACTCAGACAGAAGCAGAGATTGACCTGGGAACCTTTGATGTGACCTCTCATGCCTATGTACTGGACGACACTCCGTCCGTGATGTCTCTTGGGAAACGATGCATGGAAGAAGGATATTCCTTTGTATGGCCATCTGGTCAAATGCCTTTCATGATTACGAAGAATGGAGAACGCATCGATTTGACAATCCATGACAACATCCCCTACGTTGATCTTGGAACTTACGAATGCACTCCTCATGAATGTCATCATGCTTCAAAGATCCATGACCTATTGATACATCCTCAAATCGGAGTCAATGATTTCAACGACATTGATGATGTTGGTCAACCCTCA